TCAAGACACAGTATATTCATTACACCAGGAACCTCTCTATATAGTGCTGTGCACTCAGTAGGAAGAATACATAAATTTGGGAATCAAGGGTATGGAAGCAGATGTGGCTTCACTGATTATTACTACTAATGACCCACTGGGGGTTTGTGCTTCCTGGCCCCAAAGCTCTGGACTTTGTAGCTTGGAGGTTCTAGGCCTCAAATGGAGCCTATTCTTGGCAAAGGACATGGCCAGTATCCATTGAACTTATAAGTTACAGCTGCTGCCAGAACACCGGGCACTCTTTATGCCTAGGAATCAGCAGGTTAGGAGAGGAGTCACCAATTGAGCAGGGGGTAATTAACCCTGACCATTAGGAGGAGATAGTGCTGCTTTAAACAATGGAGGCAGAGAAGAGGGAATGTGTGTCCTGGTACTTCTTTGTCCCATTGTAACTGCTATTGGACCTGGGCGGCAACCACAGTCCGAGAAGAGTATAATTATGAAGAGGTCAGATCCCTTGGGAATGAAGGTTTGAGTTGTACCACCAGGCAAGCCCCTGAGTCGTGCCAAGGTGAGGGGTAATTTAGAATGGATGGTGGAGGAGGAAGAAGAGAAGTTCCAGTTGTGACCCTGAGATCCAAGGCAGCATCAGGGGCCATGTTTTACTCCTTAACTTCTCTTTTCTGAGTTTTTCCCTTCAGACTAAGGCCTGTGAGGACCATGGAGAGGGTGCTCTTCTAGCTTAGGGGGACAAGTAGATCTGTGCCACGCAGACAGAAACCTGTGGTGGCCCTGTAGATGCAGCTCTCAGATTTCCTACTTCAGGGAGTGTAAATGGCACAGATCAGCTGCTATGCTCTGCAATCCATCACTGTGTTTGCACTGGGCTTGTGCTTTGCCTTGGCTGTTCCTAGCCGATGGTGGAGCGTGGCAGAGATAGTAAGCAGATAGTACCTATAAGATGCTGGCCTCCTGCGAAGGGTCACTTTGGCTCAAGGACTGCCCAATGTTTGGCTGGAACTTTCTTAGAACTGTGATGAATCTAAGAAGTAACTTCCTTTCTCCCTTCTTCCCTGGTTTCTTCTTTCTTCTCCTTCATAAGGTATAGACCTGCATCACCATGTAATGGCTCCTCCATCAGCTCCTTCTCCAATTTCCCTCAGTGGCATTTCCTCTAATAACTCCATTATTACATCCAATCCCATCTTGGCATTTGCGTCTTGGAGGACCGAGCTTATACAGATGGCCTTTATATGTTCCTGAGAAATTTAAGGCAAGATGGCATATATGCCAACCTTGTGTGCTAAGTCTAGTTAACTGGTAGTGGCTGCTGGGAGTGCTGAGTTGAAAAAGATTCTAGAGCTGTATCAGGTCCATTGGAAAGAATGCCATGATCTATTGACATGTTCTGCTATGAGGGCAAGGAAGAGGGTTTTGATCCTTCATTAGTTGCTACTGCTGAGCTGGGATGTTCCCCAAATCTCTATGAAGAAGAGTCACAACCTGAGAAGTATCTGTTGTATATGAAACTTTTGTTAATGATGAACGATATGATAGTGAATGAATAATGCCTAAGTATGGCTAATTATTATTAATAATGATGATGGCATTAGTAATAATGATATGATACATGACTACATAATATATAAGTGATGATAATGCTTAATGATGAATGATAATTATAATATGATATTATATCATTAGGGAGCTTAAAGTGATATGAATATAATATGTGGTTTAATTATATTGATAAGCAATAACATTATCACACTGACAGATGGAATAAAAAAATATAAAACATAAGGATGTGTTCATGATCTCCATCTCTATCTTGAGATGACTACTCTGATGAGCTAATGCAATTCTATTTCTTTATGGAGCCCATCCTAACGTGATGCTGTTCATTAACATGACTCATTTCCTTTTACCTGATTTTATACTTGTCAAGCAATGTCCTGACATTAATTAGATTTTATAAAGAGGCTTTCCTACCAGAAAGAGAATATGCAACCAGTTGATGTACATATTCTAATTTATTTAGTATCTATTTCCTTCTAAAAAAATCATTTTTTAAAATGATAGAATACATGTTTATCATTAAATAATTTAAAGTTACATGAAGCAAAATTTGAAGTCTACTTCTTTTGCAGTTTCCTTTCAGTCCTGTTCAGTGGGAATAACACTTTATTTTTTGTTGTAAATTAATTTTCTTTACCGGGGATCTGATCATGAAGGTGTTTTTTTTATGACCTTGTTTAAAAGGAATCTTTTGCGAGTTTACTCACCATGAACTAACAAAACTGCATTTCTACATACCCCAAACTGAGGGCCAATCCTCATCCAGGATCCTTTTTTATTTTCATCAGCTAGCTTTTTGTTAAGTCTTTTGTGATGGCAAACATTACGCTCTATGGAAAGTGTAAGCTTTAGCTACCACTTGCAGAATAGGAGAAGAATTTGGGACAATATATATAATGCTGTGCTCAACACATTATATGGTTTATTCAGTTTTGTAAACGATATACCACTCATGTTTTTTCACGAATTTTATTACTTACTTTTTTAAAAAAAGACTTTATTTATTTATTCATGAGAGACATAGAGAGAGGGAGAGACATAGGCAGAGGGAGAAGCAGGCTCCCTCCAGGTAGCCCGAGGTGGGTCTTGATCCCAGGAGCCCCAGATCACGACCCAACGCCCAAGGCGATATGTGGACTCTCGACGGGTAGTCCACGGGGGTAGAAGTGGGAGGTGTGACCACTGAGCCTAACAGACCCAGTCAACCCGGTATTCCTTATTTTTTAGTACTTTTCCGAGTCATTTTCACTGCTCCTCAAGGATAAAGATCACCCGACCCTCCCCCCATGCCAACGACAACCCCCCTACACACCTTCTGCCCCCACTCTCCCCCGTAAACCCGCCCCCCCAGCCATCCTCCGCCCCTACATCCTCAGCCACGCTTAACAACTCAAGGCAAAAAAAAAAGAAAAAAAACCTCACCATGTTCCCTTAACAACAACAATGTCCCAAAACCCCCACACCCTACCAAACAATGTTCCATCGTCCCCCAACTAAAACCCATCGCAGCCACCCTAAACTTCAAGTTAACCTGACCCATTCCCAAAACAAACACCCCGTCCCCCCACATACACACCTCCTATGAGTCGACTCACATTCATCTAACAAAGCCCTATCTGAACACCAACCCTCACTAAAAATCGCCGCACAACCCTTGCCAAGTCAGATACAAAACTTCCCCGCCCCCCGCCCTAAACCCCCCCACCTCCATGCATCCCCTACCCCTCCCTCCCCACCAAATCAGCCTACGCCTAAACCCCCGCAACCCGACCACCACCCTCCCGCTGTCTCGCCCCAACAGAAGACCCCACCCCAGTCCGCCCCCCAACGAAACCACCTGCCACCACCAACACAACCACATAACCGGTCATTCCCCCTGAAAAAAAACCCCACCAAACCACCCTCGCCCTCACAGCCGACCCGTAAAAATATCTATCCAGCCAAAAAACTTATTTCCCTCCCCCCAACATTATCCCCCCACCACCCACCCCAGTGGGGTGACATGATCAGTAGGCGGTTATTTCATACTTGCCATCGTGGGCCCCAACTGCCCAAAAAACCATACTCAAACCCACCTTCAAACAATAAAACCGAAGACCCCCTCCCCACGCCAACCAACAAAAACCACCAAGGATAACACCCCAACTTCCAAACAAAATAACAAATTCCCTACCCCTTGATCCCCCAGCAACCCAATATGGGGGGACTAATATGCTGCGTCGCATCCTACCCCTCACCACACCCCCCAGACCACACCCCACCCACCCAAACGACTTCAAATATCACCTGATTCCTGCCCATCTCTTCTTATAGCATAAGATACTCCGCCGAAATATTTAGTACACATTTCATTAATTCCCCATAATTTCCACCCCAGGCCATGCTGTAACGGCCTTCCGAACCCCACCACAACCTACAGGAGACATCACTCTTATGGCGCTGAAGAGTCGTGATCGTAGTACAATATATGCATTTGTTCAAGATAGTCACGGAGATGCGAGCCCAGTCATATTGGCTCTCTTCTGTAAACTTTATTTTCTAATATTAGAAGTTAGACATGATTCAATAACCATTTGAGGCAAAGTTACTGCACCTACGCTTTTTATAAAATAAATAACCACAGCAACATGGGAATGTCATTTCAGTCACTGGGCCCATTAGATTAGATGGACAGGTTTGCTCATCTTCTTTTGGAGATCAGTGATTGTTACTTTAATAGATTTATTTTGATCTTTTCTTTTTAAATTTAAGGTTACCATGGGTTAGGCAAAATACCAAGATCAGAATGCAAATTTGCACACTGCCTTAATATTGACTTTAGCTTGGGACAAAGAGACCTCTGCCCTCACGAGGATAGCAGCTTCACTTGTCCTAATGCTGTAAATCTTACGGTGAATGTTAAAATTAAAAATTCAATAAGACCATGCATGATTTATCTAGTATATCTTTCTGGTGTATGGTATCAGTTTGTCCTGGAAAGTTCCAATTTTATTTTTTGTCCATGTTTTCATACAGGTGAAGTGGGAACTTTGACTTTAAACATCAGCATATAGGAATGGTGTTTTTAATGTCATCTGAACAAGTAACAAAGGTTCTGAAGGCATACTTGTTTCCATGCAAATGTCATCTCATGGTTCAAGTAGATAATAAAATGTTATTAATAAAATACTGAAATAGACAAAGGCACTGTAATGGCACATGTTTGGTTTTCTCAACATGCTCATTTCCCTGTCTGGTAGGTCTAGCCAGTTTTTGTAGATTCAACATAAACTTGATTATAGAAGCTAGGCCAAATGGATTTAAATTCCCAAAGATACCACAAATTTGGGGGCACCAATGAAATAACAAAATAAACACATGGTAAAAATCAACTTTTGTTTGATAAGAGGGCCCAGTAGAGCTAATCTGCTTTCTGAAAAATAATTAAGAATCCAAATTAATCACACATATAAACCAGTTTATTAGATTGTCAGTGATACTTTGAGACAAATTCAAGTTATTTCATTTTACTTTATATAAACAGAGGAAGGGAGGAAAAGTTTGAAACTTCAAGCTTTGTTCAGCATGTGTGCAGTTAGCATCCACAAAAGCACCATTGGATATGGAATAATTAGCACCACAGAATTTTCGGACCTAACTGTTAACATGCATCACTGGAAAACTTGGAACATAAAAACTGAAGTAGTACGTGGTATGGCCTATTATAAACAATACAAGGCAATTAATGATTTGTTTTCATACAGTACAATACAATCACCAATCAATGAGAACCTTTAGTACAATACAGGACAAAAAAACACTTTGTACCCTGTTAACACTAAAACAGTTACAGATTTAAAAACATGTTTCTTGTGAGAGGCAGTGGGTTGAAACTATCCCTCCTCCTCTTTTTAAATTGAGTTATATAGTTACATGATCTCTTAAGAAAGTATTTTCAAATCTATGTCTCTCTACCTCAGTGCTGACAAATGGTTTTTTGAAAACGCAAAGGCTTGATGCAAATTAAAACAAAACAAAATAAAAAAAACAAAAAAAAACAAAAACAAAACCCCAAACCCGGTAAGAGTCAAGAAGTACTCCAGTGTGGTGGAACATACTCCACTTAAGATCAGTTTGAAAATGATGCCAATGCTGTTGACACTTGTCTTCCCTTCGGTGGAGGAATGTCAAGTACAGAAGCCTTGCATTCACGATGAACTTCGGTTCATTTCTTTCACACAATGGCTTTATTCTGAAGTGTAACATAAGAGACTTATTCCTTATTCCTCAACTGTGTTTGGAGTGTCCTAGGGCTGTTCCTTATGCTGGATTTGACAACAGTGAAAAGGGTTGATAGTCTCTCTGGATTTAGGGCAATTTGAGCTAAAGAAAAAATATTAATTTAAATTTAGCATATATGCAATTTTAAAGGGAGTTTCACTATTTTCACAGTACAAACCCATAATGAATATCATTGAAAACCTTTCTGTTAGAAAGCATGTAACAAACCCTCAATTTTAAGTTGTGTGTAGACCAATTTTGGCATGTTAGAAGATACTGTATAAGAAATGTGCAATAAGAATGGATAGATACAGGTATATTCAGATCTCAATGCATTGATGCCAAGGAAAATATATTTTTACTCACCAAGAGAAGAATATACCTTGAAGCATCTATGCAGACACATGAATCAATCATGTATCTGCCCAACTTCTAATTCTGGAATAGTGATAACAGGGTCATTTAAGAAAAAGTACTCAATTACAGTATGGCAGCAATTTTATGTTGTATATATTTAACAGCAAAACATTTTTGAAAATAGAATCATTATTATACGGTAAGTTTACAATTCACCATTTCTATACTTGTAATACATGCGCTTATTTGTTTTCCCAGTTTTAAAAAAAATCCCACTAGGACCAACATCTTTCAGAACAACAATCTAACATTAAACAAAACCTCCTAAGGAAAATATTTAGCATCACAGAGATTTGAGAAAAGTCTGTTACTTAGCATCACAAAATACTCAATAGATCTACATTTAAGATTGTTCATGCCATGACATTAACACACCTTTGGGTTAATATATCTTATTTAAAAAAGATAGCAAGATACAAACCAAAGAACTGACATGGAATTTTTTTTTAGTTTCTCGTTGATAAGAGTAAACTGCTAATAAACTTGACTCTTGTCGGTACTATGTAATGTTAACTGCGTCTATGAAGCAGCACTTACATTTAGTAAAACATTTAAAACTAGTGATAGAAAAATGGCCACCACAGAGAAAGAATTAAAGATTAGTGAAATTATAGACCAATATTTTCTTCTTAAGTGAACTGCCCCCAAATAAAAAAGAAAACAAAGTTTGTTTGCTGTGAAATATTCTTCTGTTAAAAAATATTCTTGGATAAAAGTTAGTTTATGTTTTATAAATGTCAGAAAGATGTAATGTTGAACTTCAGAAAAAATTTAACTTTTGAAAAAAAATTATCCTATGCCTTTTTTTCTGAATCAAATCTCTTGTATAAATCAACTATTGATTTTCTGAAGAGGGCACAGCTATACACAGCAGCACATCCACATTACTGATTTAAATTTGATAATTTACCAGGCCGGGCTGACTTGAACATAGAAGAAACAAAACTGACTTCTTAATGTTTTAGAGTTACGGTAAAAAAGACTCAACTAAAGAAAACTAAGTTATGACAGGCTGGCCTAACACTTTCGATGGCCCTTGTATTTGAACAACATTTCAACACAAGGTAGTACCAATTAAAAATAAGATTTAAAAAATAAAGGCTGTCTAAAAATTGTTCAATGAAAAAGTCTTCAAATTTTACACTTTAACCTCAAATAATTATAGACTAACTTAGACTAATGGTTTTGCTGTTTTAACACACACTTTTGTTACTCTAGAGTTTTATTTCTGAATTGTTCATTGGTTCTATCATGTAACACAATTTTCTATTAAGTTAAAATAGTTTGACTTATTCTATTATATTATAAGAAGCTTTAGAAAAACACATAAATAGGATAAATTTATAAAAGGATAAAGAATATTTTATGGGATTTTAGACAAATTCTATACAGACAAATAGCTAGTTCAAGGTAATAAAGTGCCTTCATTTCTAGGTAATTAATTTTTCACTAAAATATTTTAAGGCTTTATAAGAAACTTAACATTATCAGAAGTGTGATAGTATATAGGGTTATGCTATTAATTAGCATCTTTCATAGGTCTTGTTTCATTTAATCTTTTAATCCACATTAGGTACTTGGAATAATCAGCAGCTTAAAATTATAAATTTGAATTGTAAATTCTGAATTCAATTTATGAGGAAAAAGAAAGATGTATAATTTCCTAATGCTGTGATTTGTACATAAGACTCACATGCAGCTTGTGAACAATCTAGTTTATGTCATAATATACAACAGCCAATGCCTCTCAAAAAATTCAACAGAATATTATTTCATGGCAAACAGGGCCATCATTTCATTCATTCATTCATTCATATATTCTGTTGTCTCTATGTTTAAATGATTGTACAGCCTTAAGTGAAAAAGGCCAGAGAAAATCTAAGATAAATTCTTCAAATACAGGCACAATGAGTATTTTTTTATTGCAATAGCTTATGCATAATCTGTACTGATGCCAACATCCAATGTTAAAGCATTTATATTTGTTTTCAGTTTGCTTCTACCACCCATGGGTGTATCCCAGTAAAATACTGGAAACCTACCAGAAGTGTATACAATAGCCATAATCATACAGAATTTTATTTCTTCTTGTCATTTCTCTTTGGAATATATGAGGGTATTTTAAGTAATGCTGTGTAGTTATGTTGGCAGTCCCAGATTTTAAGACAAATTATGACTATATGGACATCAACTTATTAAACTGGTTATAACCAATAAAAACTAATTAAAATGTTCAAGTATTCTTTTTTAGGAGTTTAGCTATTTTTATCAGAAGATTACTAAGGTCAGGCATCAGATTAAATGTCCATGATACCTAACATGCTTATCTAACTGGATTAATTTAAAATGTTCCTTAAACTAAGGGCCTTTGAAGTTAGGATGGAGGAGGAAACTTAAAACTCATTGCAAAGAATGGTTTAAATTAAAGGTTCCATATAATCATAGAAACAGGAACTAGTGGTAGGAAAAAGTGCCAGTCTTAAAATTGGGTTTGGTTTTCAATCTAAAGCTTAGTAAGAGTAATTCTTGGCGTTTAAAAAAAATAATAAAATGGCATAAACCTTTATAATTGCACATTCCTTTACCAAAGTGCCACAAGTTACCAAAAAATCTTTTTAAATGTATATGATGCTACTTTTCAAAATCTAAGTACACATAAAGTTTTGCCTTTTTCATAGTAGTATGGTACAGTTTCACAAACTTATCACAAATATAACCAGGAAGATGAGTTATAACTTTCTAAAAACAGTTATAGTGTGGTTTTAAAAAATAACTGTTAGAACCTTTGTCATTATGAGGATTCAAACTGAAGGGTAGCCAAAGCATTCCCGTAATATCCGAAAACATCATGAGAATTTATTTAGGCAAATTTTAGTACTACTCTTCCATGCAATGCACAGAACATCATAGCTTTTTTTTTTTTTTTTTTTAAATACTGGTTTAGTTATCCTGTTTTAATCTGATTACATGTTATACTTACTCTTTAATCACTGAAGTGACAATATATGGAATAACTGAGTTTTGAAAACAGTATTAAGCACTGAGGTTACTAGCCTTAATTGCTCATTCTTATTAAGCATGGCAAAAAAGTCTGAGGCATGGATTATTAATTTTCATGCTTCTATCTCTTTATTCTAAGTGGAAAAGTATAGAGATAATACAATAAAGACAAAAGGACATTAGAGACCAAAGCACTAATATATGGAACAAATAAAATAATAAACAACTGTATGGAAATTCTTCATACCATTAAATTTGTTAAATCAGGGCAAGACAGTAAAAAATAAGATCTCTCCACCAGATAATAATTATAGGAATATATTTCTTAAAAAGTAAGTGGCATGCATGAGGTTAAATTTTTAATATTTTTATTGTTTGAATGTGAAGTTAAACTACAGAGACATGTCATTGTAAACTGAGACCAAAAAAATTATATTGTTCAGGAAAAAACAGAATGTAAGATCATGATTCTCAATGACAGGCCACCTGCTTTCTGTTATGCCACAGGCTAAACGTTGTGGTGTAGTGCCTCATTTAATGCAAGTGAAAATTCTGGCAAAAACATAAAAATGCAAATAATAAAATTAAGGTTAGTTCATAGTCAAAGAACATTGAATGAGTATCAAAAAAGAACCCCTTCTTTTCCCTACAGTTTGAAAATTTCAATCTTCAGTATAAGAATGTGACCATATAAAAGCATGCGAAAGAAATGCCCAATTCGATAAATTCTTCATTTTCCGAGGATGTAGAATGGGATGTAAATTGGTATCCTAGTCCTCTGAGAGAATTAACAAACTTTAAAAACATAAGTAAGATCAGAAAGAATCGGGCGTGATAAATCACTGATAACAACTCCGCTAAACCCAATATACTGATAGATAAGTCACAGAAAGGTTAAGTATTCATTCTGTGTAATTTAACGAATCTTCTTATAGTTTCCGAATATGAAAATATAATTGCTTGTTGGTGGATAAGTCTTGGGTAGTGGCAGTGCTTAAAAACTGTTAAAGAAATACTTCAAATAAACACTGAAATGCAGAAGATCCTTAATAGAAGCTGTAGGCATGTGGAAACTCGATACTAGATGTGATATTCCAACTATATTTAGTTCCTGTATTACTCAAAGTAATATAAGATTGCATAATCTCTCTTGCCGATACACACAGATATTTTCTCATCTTTGCAAAACCTAGCCAATTGCATTTACCTAAGTTAGCTTTTCCTTCCTTTTAGCAATCCTATAGTGATGACATAAATACTGGACATATCTATAAGAACCATTCCTACCACGTAATTTAATCTTGTTTTCTATTATTTAGCTCTTTTATAGCACTTTTCATTTCCAAAATGCCACACAACTAATTGTAATAGTTATTTCTCATTCTATGGGGTGGGCAAAGTTAGTAAATGGCTTGTGTGGTGGTGGAACTATAAGAACAGTTTTCAGGGATCCTATATATCTTCTCTGTTCTGTAAGCAGTTTTATCCAGCATTGTCCTCTGCTATGTATCTACACCACATGCTCCTTGAGGCCAAAGACTGGATCTTGTCTGCTGTATACCCAGACCTATCAGAATGTTTAGCTCACACTGTATTCTAAACAAATATCTGCTGATTTAATGAATGAGAAATAGGATTGAGAAAATAAAACAAAAATCTTAACATACTGCCCCTCACCCTCAACT